TCTCTCTCTCTCTCTCTCTCTCTCTCTCTCTCTCTCTCTCTCTCTCTCTCTCTCTCTATTTCTCACGCGCACGCATACTTGAATTTTATACAGAATCTACGGAAAAATAGAATCTAGGAACAATCGTTGAGACCTCTGGCTTTTGTCTCCCCGCTTGTTTCGTCGCAAGCGATTGCAAACGAGACGTGAGTCATGCAAAACCTTTCCGTCGACGCGTGTACATTTCCATTTTCTTGCAGCAGGGACGTTAACCCGTTTCGGTGAAGTTCAACGTAAACAGGTAAAAAATCTACAAGGTAGCTAGGCACAGTAACGCCTCGAGAAACGCAGGAAATCTCAGGCTCAAAATTTTCTTCGGATTCCTCGAAGCGTTGCTGCTGTTTATGACAGTGTGTGTGTGTGTGTATCGTCGCGTGCGTAAACGAAACGGTCGGTAAAAATATTTCTCTTATAAAAAGTTCATGGAAAAGTGAGGAGTCAGAACAGTTCCTCGGAAATCTGCTCGTTTACGGTATACAAAATACATTTCGGGGTTGGAGACGGAGATTCGGATACGACAGTCCTTTCTCGGCCAGTTCTGCTCGACTTCGCGTTACGTCGGTTCTCTAACTCTCACCCGCGAGCAATCGACAAATCGCCGATCTCTTTTTTACACAGTGAACCGTCCTCCAGTTCTCGAAATCACAGTTCGCGTACCACGTGACGCTCTCCCAGACGAAAAAAATGATCCCGTCGGAACGCAATGAAATTCTTTCGTAGTTACACAATCGTACAATCGAAGTGTCGATCCGACAAACGCACAGTATACTTACACAGAACCGCGTATAAAAAAATAAAACGTGATTACTCGGAATCTCCGGACGAGTCTTGAAACATTAAGAACATCATCCCGTTGATCGGCAGGAACTCGTCTCGTATTCGGCAGCCGTAGCTTTCATTTCTTCAGAATCTGTCCAGGCGAGGGGAAATGTTTAGCATGATATGCTGTGTCTCAACCGCGGCCCACAAAGTTCCTCTTGATAATTGCATGCCTGTTCATTCTCAAATTGCCAGCCTTTCGATTTCACGGTGAAAGTGGGACTTGGTTAGAGACACCTGCAACATTCGTAACAAAGTTCAAAGTTTCTTAGATTCGATCGTTAACCCTTAGCAGTCCTATGTCGAGTCAGATTCTATTTTACTGCAACCTCTACCTGTTTTAACAATTTTTTCAATATCGTATCACAATTGTACTATATAAAGCTAACATTTCAATGACTCCAAAATATTCTTGAATAAATAAATAGAGTGTCACATTAACCCTCTATGGGAATTTTTGTTCACGATTATACCAAAACCTACGCAGTACAAAATTAATAAATATAGTATTCAATAGTTTCCATAATTTCATCAAACGAATATATTTCGTAACTTTCGAGTTACAATGACGTTAAACCTTCACGCCCGAGCGTATGAAAGTTGCAGTTAACCGATTGCCTCATTTTATTCGCCACTTTGAATGCAAAACGAAATAAATCAACAAGATGCCAATATGCTGATATGTGACTTCAAAGTTACATGGGCCCACAGAGGGTTAAGCTGTAATCGAATGAACCAACGTCGACGTGAACCTCAAAGCGAGAAACCAAGAGCGCTTCGGACCGCAAAGGGTTAATCCCGCCCTCGCTCGAAGAAACTTATTTAAACGTACTTATCCTCCCATTCTTTGGTCCATACAAGTAAAATTTCGCTAGCAGTGTCTAACCTCCAACCCTCATGGAAGCTTGTGCCTCTGCACGTCGCTCATGCGTAGCTGCCTGTTGGCCATGCCACCCCCGCATTGGCTGCTCCAGTCGGTGGTGGAGACCGGCGTGCGATAGAATTTCGACGAGGTCTTATTGAAGATTGGCAACAATTCGTTGGCCTCGTTCGACAGGGCCTGTTTAAGTGGAAAATTCCTCGTTATCGAGAATCGACCCCCGATCCGACCCTGTCCGCAGCCCCTTCGACGTCCGGCACTGACTCACGCCGGGGAGGTTACGGTTTCGCCGGATGGCGTAACGTTATACAACGTTGCGCAATCGAGAAAAAATACGTCACTCACCTTGAGGTATATGATGGCGTCCGTCCCATAGCCGTCGCAGCTCTGCAGAACCAGATCTCCATGGAAATACCTGGCGTACAATCGCGACACTGGAAGACCATAACCGTAACCGGCCAGAGGGACGGTGTGGGCGTCGGTCACGCTCGGCCGGGGCGCTGTGCTGTACATGTATTTGAACAAATGGTCCATCTGAGAGCGAGGAATGCCGCCGCCCCGGTCGGACATCTGCGGGAATAACAATTGTGCAATCGAAACACGATCGGAGGACTCGGGAAATCGAAGAAACCGCCGTTCCGTCGCGCGATCCGCGCGAAAATTGATTCTCCCGTAGTTTCAGACGACGACGGTCGGCGGGCACGTCGATACACTCGATACCCGATGCATCGGTGTTGAGTAACAATGCTGGCGAAACGTCGGGATCAATTTTCACGCTGATAACCGGTAACCTCGCTGTTCAGACGTCGCTCGACGCTGGACTCGCGTCGGTTTCGATAGAGGCTGCGAGAATCGTTTACCTTCACGCAAATGTCTTCCTTTCCACGGGACACGATCACCTCTATCGGCGGGTACTCCGACTCGGATTCGTGATGGTGCTCCATCACCGCGCGCATGCTGTTCTTGAACAGTTCGAACAGCATGTGGAACAAATGGCTGGGCACGTAGACTATCCTGATCTCGCTGCATCGTTCGTGATCTGGAAAACGAGAGGCGCAACGATGAGATCGGGATACCGTATGAGAAAAGTATCGCTTGGTATATTCCTGCGAGGTGTGAGTGATCGGTTAGTATACTTGATTGATTTCGCTTTTAATCCCCGATTATCGAGCGCGTCGCGCCATGGGAATTCACTACGCCTACTAGAGAATAGAATTTTGTCGTGCTACTTACTAGCGATACTACAGTACAATCAACATGTTTCAAACTTGCCGTTATGTTGTTTGACTATCAGTTCCGGGCTAGCCAGATAATATTGATCGCACAGTAACCTCGCTTTCTCGTAGGCGTCTTTCACGACGCCGATAACGTCGCACGAAGGGTCTATGGATCCCACGTGTCTACTGTGCCCGTTCAACTCGCTGCCGAACAGCAGAGCTGCGAAACAGAGAACGGTGTTTTTCACTTGACGCCCGAACGAACGTTCGCACGTTCGCCTGGCACGCGAGGGAACTTACTGTGCTGATTGATGAGCATGCGAATGGAGATTCTAGACATGAGGAACCTGTCCAAGAAATACTGAATGTTGTTCCCCGTTTGAGCGTCGACGTCGTGGGATTCCTTCAGCTCCAGGACTCCCTGAGCCATCGTCTCGACGATGTCCTTGTGCCTGTTGCGTATCTTCACTAGCGTTTGACAGAATCTACGGAAACAAAGACTGCTCGTTTCAACGTTTCCCTCGAGCGAATAAGAATAAAAGATACAGGTGAATTGTTCGGATAGCGGCGTAAGAAGTGAACCTAACGCGAATCGTTCAATGGACTGTTCTAACATTGAAGACTCACTTGTCTAAAGTGGTCTCGTTGACTTCGACCTTCTCGAACTGTATTATATCCTCGAACGAAGTGGCGTACATATTATTAACTATACCCACACTAGGCATTTTCAGTAAGTTCTCCGGCAGCAAGTGGATCTCCTTCATAATGTTCGCCAGTCGGACTGGCAGCTCCTTCCTTAAGAATATAAAAGACTTCCTTTCGCATGCACTTAGTCCTGCAACATGTAACGACGCATGTAAATCTGTTGTCTCTTGTAGAAAGTCGTATACGAGTCGCTCAGTAACTAACGCGGTTAACCAGTTAACTGTGTTCGACGAGTATACGCGTCATCGTGAAGCTTGACACGATAATTCTTTCAGCGATGAATTCTTTAGTTTTTCACGTAAACATGTAATTCTTTGTTTCGCTTTGATCTTTCATTAGCATATACTCTACGTGCATTCGTCCTGCGTTCGACGAGCATACGCTCCATTTTTCGATTTGATTGCTCGCAGAACGAGAGGCTCTTCCAACTAAATTCCACAGTTAATCAAATCTAGATTAACCCCTTGGCCTATGATTTCTTCCTCAACTCTGATCGATACTTTGTCATTAATAGTTTATTGGAAAAAGAGAAAAATTCTAAGCATATGTTATGCCTATATTTCCTGTTAAGTATAATAGTTGATTACAGAGGTATAATGTTTACTTTGAACTCGAATGAACTGAGTAATATATATATTTGTTGAATCATGTTGAAACTCTTCACGAGTCTCACTCGTTATATTACAAGGGGTTAAGAAAATCAATGTTTCCGAAATGATTACACGCCACGCTCAGAAGCTCCAAAAACACCTGCATTCTGATCAAGAAAAACAAAGAAAAGTAAATCTTTGAATAATCAAAAGCATGTTATTCATTCCATTGAAAATTGAGAAAAACCAGAAGATACACAGGAACCGAGTCAACCGCGATGACTTCTAAGCGATTCATGTGTATCGAAGCAGAAATGACGAAAATCAATGTTTCCGAAATGATTACACACCACACTCAAAAGCTCCAAAAACACCTGCATTCTGATCAAGAAAAACAAAGAAAAGTAAATCCTTGAATAATCAAAAGCATATTATTCATCCCATTGAAAATTGAGAAAAGCCAGAAGATACACAAGAACCGAGTCAACCGCGATGACTTCTAAGCGATT